ATACCACAAATGTTTAAATTATACTGTTCTAATTTGACACCTGATTATCTTAAATGATATTTTGTAAATTTTCTTATTCCTCCCTTCCCCACCAAGGAAATTTTAAAACACTGAAGAGTGAAAACTAATTGCAGGTAAGTGCTGTACTTACTCAAATATAAAATGATCTCCCCCCCCCTCCCCCCCCAATAATTAGATTCAATATATGGAAAATTTATACATTTGCTATAATTTTCTAGATATGAAATCTAATTTATTAGAGGTTTGCCTTGAAACTGTCCCCCTCCCACTGCTACAGAAGGGAAAATAAATCTGGAGGGGTCAGGTAGCCCCCTTGCCCCCCTCCAAACTTCTTCCCTCTGTAGCCACTGACCTTGGAATAAACATGCCAACAGCAATTTGAATATAAGCAAATTAGTATGCGTACCAATAGACTTACTTCATCCAGAATTGATGCACTTAACCTTTTTTGAAACTGCTGCTAGTTTTAGTACAGGTATTCTATAAACACACTGTTAAGTAGCACTTTTGTACCTACTTCTATATAGTACAAATTATGCATGATATTAGTCAAAAGGTTCACGATTTACCATATAGTTCACTGGGCTGGGCTCCAGCAGAGTCAAAAGCCATGGTGACTCCACAACTTAGCACTGCTCAGTATGTGTGTACTCAAGATACCCCCACAAAGGAGCCATGTGCTAATTAGCTTCCCACTCATGACTGGAACCAGGTGATCTTCTCATGGGTCTTGGGCTCCTCCAAAAATGTATATGCAGACGACGTGCAGGGCAACCTGGTCTGGCTCTACCTCACGGAGAGCAGGGCCACACTAATCATATGCAACAGGCTGAGCGAGGAAGTGACAGGGATTCTGGGTGAACTGTTTGGGGTCCCGTTTGGTGATATTTCCCAGATTATTAAGGCTGGTGAAGAAACACAAATTATTGGAACTGGGGAAGAAGGACACAGCTCAGCTGTGGGAGTGAAGAGGAAATCAAAATGTATTCTATATAGTGGCTCATCTTGACTTGAAAAACAGTCAGTGGTGAAAGAGACTGAGTGCAATGGGCACTATTATATATCTAATTCAGATGGGCTGCACTAACCTAGCTTTGTGATAGGTTCCTAGCTATATAAATCTATCCCTGGGCATAGGTGGTACCATACCAGGAAATTGAAAAAAATAAAAAATCAGTGCTTACAAGTACAGTCAAAAAACCATAGTGAACAGATCTCCAAAATATAAACTATATCATCTAATGGCCTGTATCCACTATTTTAATATATAAGTGAGTTTTAACCCTTTGTTTCATGTACTAGTATCTTAATATTTTAGTCCAGAACATTCGTTCTAAGTACAGAATTGTAAGCTCCTAGAAGATATTCAGATAAAAAAAAGTTTGTCCAACTGATGCAGACTTTTTTTGTTAATTCCTTATACGTGAATATATGAAGGGCTTTCCCCCACACGTGTGGGGGGGGGGGGGGGGGGGCTCATCTTACATTTGAGTAAATACAGTATGTTTACCATACTGGAAAACTATGTTTACCTAAAGTTGTAGTTGTGATGTAAAGTAGTCAAAATACTCTGATAGGCTGCGTCCACATAAGCCTAGACATTTGTTTTCCCCAGGAACAACTAGAGGTAACACACCTTGTGCCACTGCTAGTTGCCCCCAGGAAACACCTGTGCCACATACCCTTTACCGCTCAGAGCCTGACCAGCAGCTGAAGCATGGCTCTGGCCAACCAAGCTCCAATTCTGAGCAGCGTGCACTGCTCCCGCGTACGCTATTCTACTTTTTCTTTTTTTTTTTTTTGCACAGGTTTCTTTGACCCCTGGATATCCAGGAGTCACAAAAAAAACCCCAAAAAAACCCCACCACACTGCTCCCTTGAAGTGTGGGGAACAGCTCAATGTGTGATATGTGGCGCTGCAAACGTGTCTGCGGCGCCACATACCACATAGCTGCGCTCATCTGCATATGGCAATCATGATTTTTTGTCTGATTCAGCTTTCACTGAAATCAACAGGTAGACATAGGCCTTTATCCAGTGCTTCAAACTCTCAAAAGTGACCATTTCAGGGCTGCAGCAGTGGGGCAAAATCCCTTATCTACTACCCTGGCCAGGGTCCCTGGGATGGAGCAGAGCAGGGGAGCAGCCGCTCCTTGTCTCCCCATCTACTTTCAAGCCTGGGGTTCTGGTCTAATGAAAGTGTGGAGGGAAGAGGAGACGGAGGCAGCTGCAGACTGAACACCTGTACATTCCCTCTCCCAGAAAGGTTTCTACTGGAGGATCCACCAATGAAAATGAATTCCTGTTCCTGGCTTCTGTCTCACATATACACGCTATCCTGGATAGAACCCAGATATGATAAATTTCAAGCTGAAAAGATTTGTTTTCGAGATGTTAGAATTAAGCATAGAGGTTAACAAGATAAAGCAGTTTACATCTTTATCTGTTTGTAGAGTAAGAACTGCAACGCCATAATGTATAATTAAACCAGGTGTTTTAAGGCAATATTCTGTTCAGATCCTACTCGTATTTTAAAATCAATGGCAAAACTCACATTGACTCCAAGTGAAAAAGCCATTCTGTGCTTAAAAGATTTAAAGTGCCATATAGAATGAAAGTTAAATAAATAAGTAACTAGAATTCATAGTTCTTGTATCATCTAATAAGCAGAGAAAAAAACAACAATGCATATTTTGCAGCCTCAGTACTGTACAGTAATGTGCTGCAGTTTTCAACCTAGAGAAGGCAGTCTGAGTCTGCTCACCCTCTCATTGTCTGGCTAAGTGAATTTGTGCCTTTGTTTTGTGGTTTTGAAATTTCAGCAGACAGATAGCTGAAATGGTCTTTATTCTGGAGCTTGACTGAAACGGCTCACAGGTCTCTACCAGATGTGCAGGTAAAGGTGTGATGGATCTGATGGACAAGCCACACAATCATGCTTCTTGCCATGCCATACATTAACTGTACGATCACACATAAGATGGCATCACACCTTATAGCTAGTGCAGGGGCTCCCACCTGCAGGGGCTCATGGCGGGAGCAACTCAGATCAGCTGTACACTTTGAGCCCTAAGGACTCACCATGCATCCCCACAGCTGGGAGTCGTAGCAGCTGACCCAAGCTCCCAGCCAGAGAGAGCACCCCTGAGGCTAGGAGCCTGCAGCTGATACAGGTTCCCAGTCAAAGGGGCCACCATGCACCCCCCCACAGCTGGTCCGAGTTCCCTGCCAGAGGGGCACACCACATATGCAGCTGACAGAGCTCCCAGCTTCAAAAGCACACAGTGTGCCCTCAAGTCTACGAGCCTCATCTGCTGACGGGGCTCCCAAGCACAGGGATGAACCTGGCCATACATTCAATTAATGGTATGATAGGATCAGCTACAAAGTTATTGCCCATTTTTTGTGGAATAATTTTATGGCTTATCCCTCATTTTACCATGCTATTAACTGATTGAATACATGGCTGGGTCACAAATTAAGATGTGATTAACTAATTAATCACATCTTAAGTGTAACATGTGACAGGTGCCTGAGACTTTTTTGGGAAACAGCTGAAAAGCTGGACAGGAGAACAGCAACATTTAGGGCGAAATATTTCTTCACAGAAGCTGGTGGTAAAACTGATTAACTTTCTTTTATTTGTTATTTATTTATTTTATTTTACTTGAGAATTTTTGGCCTTTATTTAGATGAACTGTTATTTGATTTGAATTAGTATTTTAAGTATAAATTAGCTTTTGGGAGTCTTAATTTTACAGTAAATTTTATTTAAAAACCAACAATGATGGTTTGGTTATTTTGTTTGGAGAACCTCTGAGCTCCTTATTAGCTACCTAGTTGAAACAATCATATAAGTTAAACTCTGAACCCGAAAACTCTTCTAATGGGAGCCCCTGCAGCACAAAGCTTCTCCAGAAAAGATTTAATGCTGACAGCTAAACACAATTGCTTAGGCAAAGCTTAAGCAAAAGAAATTTACAAAAAAAATGTTGGTACCTATGGTGATATTAATTCAGTTGAACTGGTGTTACTCTCAGAATGGATAAAGTTCCAATGATCAGACCTGTTTTCACCACAATTTCCATTTGATTTGCTTTTATCAAGTCTTCAGCATCAGTTATATGGGACATAGCACCCAAAGCCTTCCCTATACTAGACCACCCTCAAGCTAAATCCCATTAAAAAAGAATGATGAGAGATGGGTTATTTAGAGAGATACAGAGGGATGTGTACAATGATTCAACAGAATTACAGCATTTTAGTGTGCAACAGCCCTGACCAAGAAATCACACTATGGTAAATACATTTCCTCAATTGTTAAAACCTACTTGGACAGAAAGGCTTCTAAATACCAGTGTATTATAATAAAAGCTTTCCGTGTAAAACAATAATGGCAAATCCTGAAAGAAAATAAGTCTGTACACTAAAGTGAAAAAGACAGAGTTCCTAGTGTTAGAATGTATAAGAATAGAGTTTATTAATAAAAACTTTGTAGCATTAATTTGCTATAGTTTCAGAAAGGATCATTCTACTATTGAGTAATATATATGAACTGTTTTGAAACAAATGTCCCTTCTGCATATATAAGTTATGTCTGTTGCCATAGCAGGATGATAGCCTATCTGCTGCATAATTGAGTACTGAGTAAAAATAACATTTCTTTTCTAATCTAAAATACAGCCAGAAACCAACAGTTAGTAAGAGTGGAGACAGGAAAAAACTTTGTGTTCATATGGCCTTTGTTATCTAAGACAACTGCTTTTCAATTTGTAGCAGGTCAAATGAAACCAGATCTGTATTAATTACCAACACATTTCACACTTCATTGCACTAAGATGGAAAGAGATATTCAAAACAATTTTGTATAGACTTCTCATATTTTATCTTGAAACCATGTTACTGATTTCACTAACGGAAATAATGAAAAGAGAAAAGGTAAAAAAATAGTAAAAACAGAAAAATGAAGAAATGGTTACCTATATGATAAAGTCCTATCCAATCTGTTGGGTCCACTTCTTCTTTAATATCCCAGAAGATAATGAGATTCTGAGAGTGCCCAAGGGTATACTCATACATACTAGCTGTCAGACTGGAGCGGCTATCAGAGGTCACTAGATCAGTGTCACTGTTGGCACGCTGTAAATTCATATTCTCAGCCATGGTGCCCTGAGATGCCAGACTCTGCAGGTTCTCTGGGCTCAAAGTATACCGCAGTTGGGGGTTGCGACGTCGCACAAAAAGTAGGTGGTCCCGGGCCGAACTGGCCATTTTGCCTCTCTCTCCTCTCTGTAGAAAATGTCTCAGAGATCTGCAAAATAAGACAGACCAACATAAAACTTAAGAGCTTTATTAGATCAAACTCCAAAGCACAAGAATTTGGTTCAAAGACTTCTTAAACTATGATTAACCTCAAATAAATGGCATGTTTTGTTAACTTACTCCTGCAGCAATCTTCGGGGAAAATTCAATACATTGGAAATGAAATATGGCATTTACCACTTGTCACACTCACTCACGTTCACAAGTTTAATTATCACAAAATGCATGAACCAAGAAAGAAACAAAGGGAAACTATGTATACGTCCAAAGAGAAGCAGAGAGCAATATACCTCAAGCCAACTACAGACAATTAGCACTACCCCACAATAGCTGAGTAAGCGAGTATAATACAGAGAGGTTCAGAGTACACGGGGATAAAATGTTCACATAAGTATTTACATTTCTATCATATAGCTTCACTCAGAAGGTGTTTCTCTTAATAGTTAAGTATTTTGTTACAGAGTCAAAAGTAAAACTGTTCTGCATTTAAAACAAGAAGTAGGATTTGCATACAGCAATGGTGTCAAACTTACAGCCCACAGGCGAGATTCAGTGCACAGAGCCATATTGTGTGGACCACAGGGTTGGGGGAAGTAGAGACATGGCCTGCTGCCAAAATCCAGGGCACAGAGTTGCTAGAGACATGTATTGTTGATAGTGCCGTAGCAAAAGGGGGCAAGCAGGGCAACTGCCCCAGGCGTTGAAGTGAAGGCGCACCAACAGGTGCTGCCCAGCTGGAGCAGGGCACAGGAGAGAGCCACGAGCAACTAGTTTGGGGGTGTGCGGAGTTTGGGGTGGCTCCTGGTCCTGCATGCACTCCTGGGCAAGCATGGGGGGGCGTGTGCCCCCCAGATCTGTGCGTGGGGTGAGGGTAGGCTGCTGCTGTGGGCTTTGCCTTGGACGTCAAACTCCATTGCTATGGTAGATTGTTGGCATAGGGTAAGTGACAGCTGCGTTAAACCATGTAGCTGCTGCCACCACCATCACCACCACTGCAACTTACCCCACTGTTATCACTGAATCCAGATCTGGTCTACAAGGAGTCCTACAGTCTGGATCTGGCTGGGAGGGTGAGGAGACTTTGACACCCTGGGTATATAGCTTTAGCATGGATGCATTGCCATAGAAGAGTAATATGATGACATTATAAAAAAGAATATGAAATACAAAAGAATAGATTACAGAATTTCTCCACGTCATGCATAAATGTGCCAATTCATTGAATGAGATAC